AGAAAGAGTGCCGAGTAGAAACGCGAGAGGACAAAAGATGCTGGATGGCATCCCGTAGCGACTATACACAGTGCAAAGCTTGCGATTCTGGGCGAGGCTCATGCACAACAAATGAAAAGCAGACAAAGTGTGACAATGGCGCTCCTCAGTTTTTTTCAAATTCGCAGTAATAATGAGCGTAAAAGCGATTAAGCGCCGAGACTCGTAGCTCTCCTCTCCCGTAACTCGCAACACTCGTTCAACATACGCATGCATATTTGCTCGCTCGCTATCCCCTACAGTAACACACGCACTTCTCTCGCCCTCCCCCTTCCCCTCCCCTACCCTCACCACCCAACTCATATGCCAACCCTCTCGCGCCGTTTCTCTTACTCCATCATCCACTTCGATATCAGGAATTTCGTTCTCCGTATATACTGAGGCGAGGACATGATTAACGAATAATCTTTCTTTTCTTCTTCCTCCTCTTCTCGCATTTTTATACTCTTATAGCCCGAATAATGTTTCGAGGAGTATATGTGGCATGTAGATTATTTTGCTTTGGTCTTGTGGAAAAGGTTGTGAAATTTTTCTATTTTGAAACGGTAAAGATGCAATCTGTACATTGTGAAATCTACAACTTTTTCACTTAAAAAATGTGTGTCTAAAGACATTGCGCGACACTACCCTCCTACCTCTACTACAATAGATATTATTGTTAATATATTTTATCAGAGTATAAATACGGACTGTCATTACCGAATACTATTTAAATAATTTCATGTAAAATCGTCCAAAAATTCTTAAATTATATAAATAAATTTGTAACGATCGAAGCGATCGAGCATGACTCTAGCCACTTGCATTCCTTCGACTATGCCCGTTCGCAACATAAATATATACTCACACTGGTTAAACCATGAGCACGTAGTGTTTCCAAGTCAGAAAAGTCAAAAGTGAAAAGTAAGAGGAGGAGATAGTTGATCAATTATACCGATGTATCGGTTATTAAGTTGTATTGCTCTATATGCTAATGGACTGCATTGTCTTTCAAAATCGAGACAAAAGCTTATTGTACTTGGCGTAACTTAAAATCTATCTACGTTTGTATCATTCCTATAATTATGAACGCTTAATCATGTCGGTTAATATTTGCACCATTTGGATTTTGAAATCGTCATCTAGTAAATATTATTATTCATTTGATTTTTATTAAACACTAATATATTCTAGTATTATTTAATAGTCATTGTGCCGATAGTTATAATTTTATTTCGCATCTTTAAGTACGGGAAGAATAAACATTTTATAGAATCCTATTCGTAAATGCAGGTTTGAGGGATTTTTTTAAGCTTCGAGTGTGCGATGCCACAAACAAGTCAGCTTATATAATAGTCCAATTTGTATATAAATTTTTCATTGATCACCGACGTTCTATTTAAATAGCATTTACGATATCGACTCAAAAGAGATTTGTAAAATACGTATAATTAAATATAACCTTAGATAAATTGAAATACAAAGCAATAGTATTTATCGAACTGTTTCGAATATAATAAAAATGCATAATCGATTAAACTATCCCATGTTTTTTTTTTGTTTTTTTTTTGTTTTTTTTGTTTTCGATCTTTTTCTTCGTTTTTCCTTCTTTCTCACTCAATTAATGTATTTATGCATTCGTAATAATACGCTTAAGAGCGAATGTGAATTTTTATATTTAAAATTAATTTAGCATTTGCGGCAAGTAATTTCTTATTTACAAAATGTACATATAATGCAAATCTCACATGTCCTTTTAATATTAGCAAATCTAATTTAATATAAGTAATACGCAGTTGATGCACGCATAAAATACTGAATCCATTACAATATATCAATTATTATATAAGATTTTTATCTCGTTCATTTACCTTGGAGATATTATTATTTTTGCGAATTGACTAGATACGGATGAAAGTAAAAAATTTAATACATGTCTGTTAATTTAATGTACGAATCAGTTGAAAGCGTGTTTTTTTTTTTTTTTTTTTTTTTATTTTTACCGCGTGGATATAATTATGCCCCAGTATCTAGATTAGTGCTCAGCGTCCTGAAACACGTATATATTGAATTGTAAATATTATGTATGTGCAATCTGGGATATTTTAAATAATTAATTTCGTATATTTTATAAGAACGTTGCGAATGATGAGATCATAATTCTTAAGAGTCGGAGAGGCTCTGATATTTAATAATAAAGCTGTTCATAATTCTAACACGAGGAATTGATATCAATTATAAAATATACTTATTAAGTACGGTTAGTTTCTAAGTAATCTTAAGAAAATTGCATATCTAACGACTCCAGAATATTCAGTAAAGAGCATTCATTTACGCATGCATTTACGCGCACATATGTACAAATATAGGCATTGCGGGCGTTATTACGAGTCACGCGCACATACGCACAATGAAGTGCACTAATCATCGGCTATAAGTAGCGTATTGCGTATTGCAATATCTTAAGTCCTCATTACAATAT